CTCGTTATGTAGTAATAACCACTGATACTGCTGTCTTACCTCATACAATATTCTAAGTACTTTAATATGTTATTTTATTCAATCCTCACAACAATTTCTAAAAGATGGGAAACACTGTCTCCATTTTATAGATGGCAGTTCTAAGACACAGACTAAGTTATTTTTCAAGATTGTGCAATTCATAAGTGAAGAAGCCAAGAACTTCACACAGGTTTTTATATGACACATTTAGGAGAACAACAAATATTGTGGATTGTGCATGTAATCACTATGCAATGCCAACACCTTACTATTCTAAGTATACAGTAATTCCACTTAATCAAAAAATGTGATGTGTGATAGCTCTAGCCAGTTTGGCTCACTGGATAGAGCGCCTTCATACTGAAGGGTCCTGGGTTTGATTCTGGTCAAGGGCACGTACCTGGGTTGCAGGCTAGATCCCCGGCCCCAGTCAGGGCACGTGCAGGAGGCAACCAATCGATGTGTCTCTCTCACATTGATGTCTCGCTCTCTCTGTCTCTCCCCTTCCTTCCACTCTCTCTAAAAATCAATGGGAAAAATATCATCAGATGAGGATTAACAACAACAAAAAAGTATGATAAAATTCTGTAAATTATAATATAACTTTAAGTGAAAGAATAATAAAAGTTTGTGTTGGAAACAAACTTGAAAATAATTTACATCAAAATAATAGACAATATATTATTCTGTTCTTACTTTATAAACTCAAAACATAATAATATAAACGGTAATAAAATAACCTAAGAATGATTTTAACTCACAAATTAATTCTATCAGGTGAAGCTTTTCTTTCCAAGAAACCTTCCCTAATTCCCAGGCTAGTATGGATACTCGCTTTACCCCACTGTGCTTCCTTAGCAACTTTGGGACCCTCTCAGAGCCTAAACCACAGATTGCTGCCATATCACTTCCACCACACTCTATTAATTAAGTCCAGCACAAGACCTGCCCAGATTCTACTCATGAGGGGAAGAATATAATACATGGTAGAGAGAGGGGAGGACTTGTTAGTGCCCATCATTAGATGTAGTCTATAGACATGCCCATTTGAGATTTTCGATAATAATTTTAAAGTCAGCATAGTTTTTGTAATTTTATGTCCTATAATTTTTATTTATTAAAATAGATTTACAGAGCTGAATATAGGTATCGAACAGACAAATATTTGAATTCAACAATTGTTTTAGTTTATTGGGCAAGAAAAAAAAAAAGATGTGTCAGGAAAGGATTTAAAGATATACACAAGGCAGTTGCTATAGTAGGCGAAGAGCCAAGAGAAGAAGTATGCTCGAGAGTGGATGTTGAAAAACTGCATTGAGGACCTTTTGGGGTTAAGGAACTATTGGGATGGAAGTAATGGAGTTACTGGAGCTGAAATGATATAGAGCAGTGATGGCAAACCTTTTGAGCTCGGCGTGTCAGCATTTTGAAAAACCCTAACTTAACTCTGGTGCCGTGTCACATATAGAATTTTTTTTTTATATTTGCAACCATAGTAAAACAAAGACTTATATTTTTGATATTTATTTTATATATTTAAATGCCATTTAACAAAGAAAAATCAACCAAAAAAAATGAGTTCATGTGTCACCTCTGACACACGTGTCATAGGTTCGCCATCACTGGTATAGAGGGTGATCAGAGGGCAGATATAAAGAATCATACAGTTATTGGCAATGATAAGGAGACACAACATAGAACCAGAAATAAACCAGTGACAAAACAGTATAATAACCAAGTATGTGGTATAGTTCTAAAAGTTAGCCTTAATTTTAAAATAGAGAGTGATCATCAGAAGCTGAAGTGGACAGTTCCATACAGAAGGTGAGAATGAAGCAGAATTTTTGGACTGGAACACTCGGTGTTCCCCTGGGCAGGATGTCCCAGATTCTTTGTCCGCTGGAGTTGAAGAATGAATCCATGGACAGAAGACGGTATAGTAAAAGTGGAAATTTATTAAAGAACAAGTACAGACTCCCACATGGGGAGAGGGAAGGAGTCCCACTGAGTTCTTTTTCCCTATGGCTTATAAAGGCTGCAGATCCTGGTACCTTGATATGCCCTCTGATTGGTTATTATTCCCTTAGACTGGTTACTATAGTTACTCCTGGGCTCAAAGGTTGAACCTCATGTGGGACATGTGAGGTTCTCCCTCCCTTCTTCCTTATTGTTTTCCTATTCCCTTTGGCTTTCTTCTTCTCCTTCTGGATAAAGGGCTTCCTTCCCTTTATTTTGTAAATATAGATCTTTTGCTGTTCCCAGCGCCCTCATTCTATGGAAATGTACTAGTTGCAACCTTTCAGCTGCCCTATTCTATGGAAATATGTTTTCTGTTGCTCTGCAGCCCTGTGCTTCCTCCATGGTCCTCTTAATTTCCCAAATCTCTAAAATTTCCTAAACCTGTCCTAATTTACCCCTAAAATTCCTGTTTCAAGAATTGAGTTGAATCCTGGAGATAAGTAGGAATCAGCTAAAGAAGAGTGCAAGAAAAGGCACAGCTAAGACTTGGTAGCACTATTTGCATGGAGCGCTTAAAGAATTAAGAATGTATCAGGCTTTCCCACTCTCAGGTAAGCAGTTTGGAATTTGATCTTTGGAAAGTGGGAGTCATTGAAAACCTAATTTAGTAAGCAAATGATATGAAAATAATTATTTAGGAAGATTACTTTGACATGAGGAAAACTGCAAGATTGACTTTTGTAAGACTAAAAAGAAATATATATGTATATATATCAGTTAAAAGGATAGTGCAATAACCCATTGTGATGAAGTTCTTTAACATGTTCTTATTAGATGTGTAGAATTAAAAACTTTGCCACTTTATATATTTACTTATTGGGGAAAATCAATAATAAAAAAAGGAAGAGAAAGCCCTCAAATTTTTTGAACATATGATGAAGAGCATATGGTCTGCAGATGGTCCTCGAACAGTGAAATCCCTCAATGAAGCTGTTTCCAGTTGACCCTTTGCAAGTTTGACTATGTCTTATGGATCCTGATATTTTGCCACAAAGTCCTAGAAGGCTGTCTTGTATATGGTTTGAAAGCCATTTAAGGAAAACTCAAAAATAACTTGAAGAGTTTGTAGAACCGAAATAAAGTATTAGTTGAAGCAATAAATAGGCTCATTTCAACCATGAGTTGTCTCAGCAATCTCCTAACTGGAGAAACATGGTGTTGTCTCCAAAATGCACATTTGCAAAAATGCAAGGCACTGCATAATGCTGATTTCACAATTCACATAATCAGATTCCTGATTTGCTTTAGAAAGAGACTTCTAAAAGGCATTGATTTTGTTTTCTCCATCTACTGGATTCCAATGGTTCCCAGCCAAGAAGGATACACTTGCATTTACAGTGTTTAATATTATACTGACTTTTTTTTGCTTGCTTTTGCACTGGAAATCAATAATCCCTAATTCATACAACAAGTTTAAACAACAACAACAAAAAACAACTACATAGACCACAGTCTCTTTAAAGCTTCTAGTCTGTTATATTATGATATAAAGAGAATCTGTCAACATTTGGGATTCATTCATTCAACATACTCACTGGCACTTACTATGCATGAGACATTGTGCAAAGATCTTGTCATTATGAAACTTGCTTTATATAACTTACATTCTAGAATATGCCACGTTAACAAATGGTCCCCTGAAAAAGCTATTTCAGTAACGGGCTGTATCAGAATCCTCTTCCTTGTAAACAATGGCATGGTTCCTCCAGCTGTCTGGTCACTGCTCCTTCATTTGCTTACTACCTGATTGTCTTGATAGTGAAATTTGAGATACCAAGTAAATTCTCCCCTATATTTTATTATAGTTTAAGCAGAAACTATATGTTCATTGTGTATACCTTCTCCTACACTATACCATTTCAATATTTTGATTAAATTTCTCTATGAATGTTGTAGGCCATAAGAAAACAGCATTGGAGATTAAATTCATTCATTCAACAAAATAGTGTGATGTCTACTCTGTATTAGGAATTGTGTCAAGGTCATCATTGATACTTAGTAAAAATAATTAAATAGTTATATAATTAGAGGGAAATACACTAAATTCTTGTATAAATGGAAAACATGTTTTGATAGTTTATTTTATTTTTTCATTTATTTTATTTTCCTGTTTTGTTTTTTCTTTTGTTTCATTTCTCTCTCTCTTTTCCTCTTAATTTCTTAATTATTTTTTAACTACTGAAAATACTAGATGGCTTTGTTTTCTTAAGATTTTGATGATGGAACATACACATTGGCATTGGGCAAACTCTTACAGCATTGAAAGGGAGAGGCTGCTGGGCAGAAACACTGGTTTCACCCAGGGGCAGTATAGCAGCACCCTGGAACTGTAACAACAAAGGGAGCGGGTTAGATATGGCAAATGGGGTAAAATAAGCTAGGCTTCTTGGAGCTTCCTGAGGGTTGGCTAATTTGAATAAATTCGGCAGATTCTGGAGCATAGAAGCTATTCCTATTAGATCTGGTGCATGGTGGCCCAGAGTATAAAGGTCTGATACAGAAAGAGGTTGGAATGTGGACTTACTCAGATACTCAAAAAGGGGAAGTGACTGGTCTCTAGCCAGGGCCTGAAAACTGAATCAAGACAAACAAACAGCAACAAAAAACTATTACATGGCTCTATCTAATGTGTTTGATCAGGCTATGAAAGACAGAATTTTTAAAAATCTACAATTGAGCAGGGTAACTTTATTACCCTTTCCAAGCTCAGGGAACGGCAACAGTTCACCATGCATATGCACCCATGATCATAACTCTTGAAGTATGAAAACAATACCAGAGGTGTACATTGTCATTTACATCTATCAGATATTTCACTTTTCCCATTATGAACACTGCATGTGTGTTTGTGTGTGTGTAGTCTTATTTAATCCTTAAAATAATCACTTTGAGTGTATATGATCTCCATTTTGCAGGTGAGGATTAAAGTTGAAATCCTTTGTAACTGTGAGGTCCCAAGACCCCCGATGTGCCTGACGGAGAGGGCGACGACCCCAAGTCAAACGCCGAGACCAAGACTTGATGCAAAAGCAAGAGGATTTATTACAAGCGCAGCGCAGGGACTCTCAGGCAGACACGCAGCAACCCGAAGGAAGTGCTGGCTGACTGGGAGCCCCGAGCAGTTGCAGAGCATAGGTTTATAAAGGCAAAAACCACACGCAGGTGGTCAGGAATGTCAGGGCAATAGCCACACGCAGGCGGCTTGGAATGTCAGGAAACTAGGTTAACAGTTAATGGACAGGTCTGGTTTGTGTTAGCAGTTGACTCATCTCCTAGGGGTAGAGTGGTCTGTCTTTACTCAACCTGATTCTAGGGGAGATAAAATAGCTATGTTACGACCAGACCAGGGCACCAGAACTTATGGGAAAGGTCAGCTAAAACAGATCATTTACTGGAAACAGACCAGGGTATCAGAACTTATGGGAAAGGTTAGCTAAAACAGATCATTTACTGGAAAAGCTAGTTAAGAAGGGGAAGGGAGGTTCCAGCAGTCTTTCATAACTTGCTCAGTGAATGGCACAGGCAAGTCTGCCTGATGCTGCCACCCATGTTTTTACCTACTATATGTGAAATTATATCCTCCATTAATTCCAAAACTGCATTGGCATTTTGAATTCAGTAGTGAATAAGATAAATATCTGCCCTCAAGCATCTTACATTCTGGTGGATTCTTTAAAAGCAAGGTAGCCATTGAAGACAGTTCTTTGAGAGATATTTGATCATATATTGTTATTCTGATGTCTCCTCTCCTGCAGTTTTATAGTTCAGTGCTTTATGATTTGCTAATATAAACATCATATGTAATTTCAAATTTTTTAGCAGCCAATTAAAAAAATAAAAATAAACAATGGCATTAACTTAATATAGTATACTCAAAATGTAACTATTTCAACATATATTTATGGGAAAATATTTAATGATATATTTCAATTATTTTTATGTTACCAGATATTCAAAATCTAGTGAGGATTTTACATTTAAATGCATCAGACTAGGCACATTTAAGGTGCTCAGTAGCTACATGTGACTAGTGTGTACTTTATTGTACAACACAGTTTTGGTGATATGACTGCTGCTATCAAACACTCCTAATGTATGAGACATGCCAATAATTATCCAATTATCTAATTTTCCAGCACCATCTTCAATTAAACCTGTATCATCAGTGAGAAATTACAAAGTTTGTCATCACTGATACCAAAGTACATAAAAAATTCATACAGCTTTGTGAAATCAAGGATCCTATAGCAATAGTCTCATATTTTTACTAATAGTGCATTCTTTACTCAAGTTTCAGAAGTCTTCACATTTTTCACTGCCATGTTCTTTGTTTTTGTCAAAGAGAAAAAATCTTCATATGAGCAAAACCAATGGACACAGACAGTAGGGGGTTTAGGGCATGTGCTGGGGGGTGGGGAGGGCCAGGGAGAGGTCAGTGGGGGAAAAGGAGGCATATGTAATACTGTATGTAATACTTTAAACAATAAAGAATTTTTTTAAAAAAGAAATACACTAACAAAACTAGCAGGTGGTGAAATTCAGCCAGTAAGAAGTTTCTGGGTAAATACATTTGGAAGTTCACATAATTAACCTAAAGCTTAAAAACTAACCCACTTGAAAATCACAAATGGTGCTTTTATCAACACATTTCATATCACATGTGAAAATAATAATATGTGGATTATATATATATATATGTTTATATTATATAGAATATCATTTTTACTTTAAAGAAATAAGTAATAGGAAAATTGTGGATAATAATAAAATTTCACTTCAAAGCAGATTGCATTTTGGGGGGAATCCTTTACCCTTTGGGTTGACATTTACATCATCATAAAGATCAGGAAAATATAGCTTGGAAGACATAATTATTAAAACATCATTCAAAATGAATGAACAAACAAATAAAGCACATCTCTCTCTGAAAGGTGCTGGGATTCCCATTTGACTGGAGTATGTGTCACATTACCAGGAAGAATGGAACGGGGTGGGACTGGTTCAGCAGGATCCCCACGGAGAGAGTGGCATCTAACGTCCAACCTGCACCTGCTTACCTACCACGTCCGATTGTAGGACATTGTCTTCATTGTTGCTTCTGTTCAAAGAGATTTTTGTAAGGATCAGTTTCACTCTAGAGTCGGGCACACAGCAAGCACTTCAAAGACATAGGTAAATTGAACTAAAGTATTAAGTCTAGGCAGGGAGCTTTTAAAAACTTTAGTTGGCATCAATGACTGGGTATGTTAAATGTGGTCATAACCTTGTTGTGTTGTCTGTAGGTTAAAACATATCGATCTTTATATTTTAGGCATTTGGCAAATGCTGTTTCCCTCACTAATTTATCTTCACTTGGTGATAAATACACCCACAATCCCCAAATATTATGAAATACTATAAGATTATTTCAGAAGTTTAAAGATAAAACAATTTAGTTGTAGTTAATGACTTTGAGAAAGACTAAGCCCAGTCATAAAGCAAAAGTATTTTTAGAATAACTGAGAAAAGAAAGGGTTTTGTTTAGTTTTCTCTTCTTCACTAGGCTTATAAATATGAAATACAAGAACTGAAGTTTTTCCTTCTCTAAAGGGGTATAGCAGTGGGTGGAAAGGGCACTGAAAATGGAAGGACCCTAATCCGAACCCCAGAGTGGTTACACGAAAGGATTTACCCATTGCCATGATTTGAAGATTTGTGTCTCACCAAAACTCATATGTTGAAATTCTAGTGTCCAATGTGATGATGTTAGTAGGTAAGAGGATTAGGTCATGAGGCAGAGACCTAGTGAATATGGTTCGTGCCTTCTGAAAGAGCAAATAGAAAGATCCCTTGCCCCTTCAGCCATGAGAGGATAGAAATGGGAAGAGGGCTGTCACCTGACCATGCCTCCATCCCGATCTCAACTTTCAGCCTCCAGAACTGTGGGAGGTAAATGTCTATCCTTCATAATATTGGTGGTGGTGTTAGACCTCTGTTCCTGAGTTCAGCAAAAAAAAGAATTCAGAGCCAAGAACTGTAGCTCAAGAAGTTTATTTAGCATTTTAGGAAGAAAGTCTCAGAGGCTTTTAGAAGTGAGCCAGTTAGGCTGCGTGGACTCAGGAAACAAGTTACAGAGGCAAGAGAAAGACCCTTGGAGCTTAGGAAGAAAGGCAGAGAAAACGTGTCTAAGGAAAGAGGCGGGGCGTGGGGTGAGGTGCAGATATGCTCTATGCTCACTGGACCCCTTGCTTTAAGGATTTTTTAATCTGTTTTCTAACGGTGGGTGTTTAGGAGAGATCTCAGGGGGGATCTTGATAGAATGTTCCTGCCCTGCCCATGCCTAACTGCCTACTCTATCAAAAGGCATTCACTCTGTGGTATTTTGTTATAGCGGCCCGAATGGACTAAGACACCTGTGGTACTAATCGCTATGGGTGCATGTCCAATAAAAGGTGAACTTGCTTGTTAAGGACTATGCAGTATAATAGCATTGCCAGTATAGCATATACATAATATTTGCTCATTATTTTGAAAAAGCCAAGCGAATAGAATAGGAATAGAGCTATCCACTTTTGAAGTAAAAGAGAAGAAAGAAGCTTGAGAGCATACTTGTGTCAGGGCTGCCCCAGCGGCTTGGAAGCTTTATGTGAATTAGAGTTGCTTTCCCTCCTGCAGCTGAGCTGACAGGAACAGGCTGCATTCCAGCCCCTGGCCCGCCCTCAGCAGGCATCAGGGGTAGCGCACCAACAGAAGGGGCAGTGAATATGTACCAAACACTGGAGTGAATTTCTTAACTGAAGAAATACAAATGTCTAGCATTAATAATACTTAATCGCTCCTTACTCCCTCCCCAAAGAAACCATCAACGCACATGGAGTAGCCTGCTCCTGCCTCACTGCTTATGGTAACTCTGCTGTCAAAACCAATTCGATGTTACATTTTCTGCTCACCTGAAATTCTCTTTATTTGACACTATTTTATTTTTAGCTATTCAAACTCTATCCATTTTTATTTTCTTTCCAGCTTGAAATCCATATTTGCTAAGAAAAACAACAACAACAACAAAAAAAACATTTTAGCCCAGATATATATATATTTTTTGCCTTTGAATTATGGTAGGGTATTGTTGACTAGAATATTTATGTGTGCAATTACTATTTATTTGCTTATTAATGAATTATCCTCTCTCTTCCAAAAGGCTTTGAAGCACTTTACAGTTTAATAGGTTTGAGTAAATAAGGTAGCAGAGAATATTAGAGTTCTCCAGAGAAAAGAAAGAATAAGTGTGTGTGTGTGTGTGTGTGTGTGTGTTTATACAAATGCTATATAATATGCTGTAGTATTGGGATATAGATATTTTACACATATATTTATTTTAAGGCATTATCTCATGTGACCGTATGATTGTAGAGCAGGTGTGGGAAACGGGCCATGAAATCATTTGAGCTGGCCCTGCCAAGGCATTATGGGTGAGTTAATGAAATGTTTGACCAAATACAGCAGGCTAATTTTTAAGTTGATAATTTTGTATGGCCCTCAGATAATGTTATAAATATCCAAATCCCCTCGACAGAAAAAAAGGTTCCCCACCCCTGTGGTAGAGACTGGCAAGCCCAACATGTATAGGTCAGGTTAGGAGGCTGGAAATACAGACGGAAGTTGATGGTGCAGTCTGGAGTCTGAATTCCACAGGCCAGCAGGCTGACAATATAGACAGAGTTTCCAGGTTTCCGTTTTGAGGAGAATTCTTTCTTCTCCAGGAAGCCTCATTCTTTGTTTGGAAAACCTTCCACTAGTTGGATGAGGCCTTATGTAGGGAAACTCTCACTGAGATCAAATAATCAAGCAATTACAGTTTACATTACCTTTGAAATTCTAATTAGACCAACATGAATTACAGTAGTTCTGTACCTATCAGAAAAACTCATGTAAATCACCAATTTCGGTACATTGAAGTTAGCATGAAGTAGTCAGAGTAACTTGTTTCTTTATCTGGGTTACTATAGTTTTCTTCAAGGCAGCGCTAATTGTTTTGTATTCCTAAATAGTGGGATGGGATTCTGTAGATTATGACAACCTCCTCTGTTTCCTAAATCTCACATACCAGGAGATTTCACCTCTTACACTTAATTTATGGCTTAAAAATAAGCCCTTTAGCCCTGGCTGTTGTGGCTTGGTTGGTGGTGGGTTCAATTCCAGGTCAGGGCATATACCCAGGTTGCAGGTTTGATCGATGTCTGTCTGTCTGTCTGTCTGTCTGTCTGTCTCTCTCTCTCTCTCTCTCTCTCTTTCTCTCTCTCTCTCTCTGTCTCTCTCTCCCTCTCCTGCCCTTCCTCTCTCTAAAATCAATTTTAAACAATAAAAATAAGCCCTTTGGAAGCTTTCTACTTTTTGTCCTACTTGGAGTTTTATTAAAAGAGAATTCAACAAAATTTTATCTACCTTAAGGCAGGATAAGTATTTTCTCTCTAGTACACTTACATAGTATATCCTGGTGCTATGTGACTGTCTGGTATTACAAACTATTATATATTCCACTGAATGAATTTTGTAAAAATATGCCTCATAAGGATGAACTGTTTCATCTGTTTATGAATACCCCATGGCCTCCTCCACCGAGTATGCAGCCTTTTACTAACCAGGAGAAAAATAGTTTAATTTCATGGTTTACAAGTAAGAAAAATAATACCTTCAATAATGAAAATTAGGATCTATAAAAGAATAGAAAAGGAAATGTAACTACTAAATGTTATGGGAAGCAATATAAAGATTAGTTCATTTAATTAGAACATAACACAGCCATAGTGTTCAGCTATTCACAGTAGAATAAAGTGTGAAAGACAGGATGGTGAGTCTGAGTCCTAGGTTGGCCTCTGAGGACTCTATGACTTTTACTGAGTCTGTGTTCTCTCATAAAATATCAGAATCACAAAGCTTATCCTATAGGGTGATGGGCAATTATGTAATTGTTTAGTAAATTCTGAGTGTATTCCAAACATGAAGTATGCCATGTAGTACTTAACATTTAAGTTTTCTTTTTCTGATACCACTGGGATGGGAAGCAAGAAACCTTGGTTCAAAAACTAATAATTTGCTCTCTTTTGTCCAATCAATATTTTTGGGTGACAGTAATTTCTAAGTGGGATTTTGGTGGAAAGAAAGACATTTCCTGGGTTTTTATAGCTCTAAAACTCTTAATATTATTTGCAGCTTTATTTTAAATAGCTATGTAGAGATTTTGTCTATTTAAATTAGATCAATAAATTATAATTTCAAGAAAGTATTAGTGACTTGTGCAAGACCCCATAGAAAGTCAGCAGCTGTGTGGAGATAAGAAATTTAGAATAGAGCCCAGAATCTGTTACTACTGGCTGTGTTATTTTACTGAAAGTTATTTTATCCCTACCTTGGTAATACTTTCAGTTACTATAATGCAATTGATTCTGTTCTTGTAAATCATTATGGGAAATATGGATGTACTCGGCACACTTTCATTCACTGTGTCAGACCCTGCGCTAATTAACGGATCGGAACAACCAGAAGCATAAGGCATAGCTTCTGCCTCCAGAAACTCAGTCTCGCAGAGGATCTTACAGATTGCCGTTTTTGCACCAGGTTGTGTCGCTGAAGTCGGTAATGTGCAATGTGCTCTGGGTACTTCAATTACACAGCTTCCTTCAACATTTGCTATGAGGGATCTCAAAAGGAAGGATAGGAAAAACGCATTGCTTTGCTCATTAACAGCATGGTGAAGAAAGAGATATATCATTCTGAAAGAACAATGAAGACGCTCATTTCTATCAGGAATTTGTACATTCGCTGTGGCATTTTGAAGTCCTGTGCCTGATTATGTATGCACACATCACACATATAAGTCATCCCCATCATACACATTTTCTATTTAATCTTCACAGCAAACCTGTGGGATAGATTTATCCTACTATTACAAAAGATGAATCCAATGTTCAGATATGAGGACATATAATTTAGCTATTTGTCTTCCTCATTAAATTGTAAGTTCTTGGGAAAGAGAATATAATAGTGAAAACAACTTGCTTATCCTGAATTATATGCCCCATGAAAGCTGTGTGTGTACCAGAGCAACTTAACCTCTCTAAATACTGGTTTCCTTGCCTATAGAACAGAATTATGTGAAAAGAATAGAAAGTCTTGGTAGGGCCCAGCACGGATTAGTTATACAATACATGCGTTCTACATGCAGGACACTATTCTATATGGTGGAGAGCCCACAAATAGCTTAGTAATGATGTGGAAGGGATGTCATCCAATAACCTCTACATGGGAGCTTCTTATACAGCCGGTGGCTTAGTAGCGTTAAAAGAGTCAAAGCCATTTATTACTTATTTGCAAAATCATAAATGACTTGCAAATGATAGGGACATGTTATTTTAATAACTCGGTGAAAGCTTAAGAGACTCTTGCCTAAATCCAGGTAGGAATTAAAGTGTTATGATTCTTCTTATTCTACCTCCAACACACACAGAGTAGTGATCCAGAAACAGTGACTGCTGAACAGGACTTAAAGTGAAACACACACAAGAGAACCTTTATCGATCTTGACTTTTACACCTCGGTCAAACCTAACACGGAATATGAAAGCTTTCTCACCTAAAATAGAAAAACCCATATGTTGCAATTCGGGGGAGAAAAACACAAAACTTACAAACACGTCTGAGTTGATAAAAACAATGTCTTGATTACCAGGACGGTACCCACAGACCTAAGCATTCAGCCTCATTAATTACCATTTGGAACCAAAGTGACCACTGTCAGTCCTGCGGCTTATACCCAACCTGTGACAAAAGAAACCAACAGCTTGACTGTAGCAAATTCCCTACGGAAGCAGGACACATAGAGGATAATGATTCCTTTAAGCAATATTGGAGAAGCTTAAAACAGCTGCCCTCAAAAAAGGCAGAGACTCTTTAAGGACAAAAAGAAAAGTAAGGAAGTTCTGTCCCTCCATGTGGGGAAAGTGAGCAGCTGTCTTACCTGCCTGTGCAGAAGGCTGTGTTTGAAGACCTAAACTCCAAAACTTTAAAGGAGACCTTATTTTTACTTTCTGTTGCTTCATTCCCTGTGCTATTCAATTTCACAATTACAAAGATCAATCCTTTCAACGAGTTGATTGATTGCCATCATTGATTTTGAACACAGAGGGTGGTGAGGAAACATACATAAGTCTTGCTCGACATTTCAGCAAATTTCCTTCATTAAGTGTTTCTATTGGCAAACCTGAAATGTATGTTCTTGCCTTGGAAATGGTTCCCTGACGAGCATAAATTGCTGGTCGTCCCCTTGCTCATCCTTATAAATTTTTTAATTAGGGCAGTGGTAAAACAGAATCGATGAAAAGTGCCACTTTCTAAGTGCTGGAGGAACAAACAAAAATAAAACTTGACTAGTGGCAGTGTAAACCGACTCTAAACTTCTAAAAGCCTTCCAGAAATATCAGAAAGTATTTTCACGCCTAATTTCTTTTCTCTCCTTTTCTAAAGTCTCAATATTCTGTTTCCTTCAGACTTTTTTACACAGGCATTTTGGCGTTCTTAGCTGGAACTGAGTCCCTTTGGCTAAGAATGGAAAATAGTACTGTGATGCTCAGCTAAGCAGTTTTTGCAGGGCTAACTTCTGTGGCTGCCCTGTGAAATAGCTTTCATCTTACGTCAGCCTCTATTGCTAGACAGCACCTACCGGTGTTAGAAAGGATTCTCTCGGCCTCGCTCAGAATATATGCAATGACTGCTATTTTAAGTCTACTGCTGTGGGTACCAAAACATTCAACGACCACACAGTTCAAATATCTGCTTTCCCTCTTTGCACCTTCAGTCAAGCCTCCCTCCTGTATGCTGTGAAGACATTTAATTCAATTCAGTGAACATTTATGAAGAGCGTTCAGTACTTTGTTAGGCACAGGAAGCACACATGAAGAAGACATGAGCTTATAAACTGTTAAGGAAGATAGTCAGGTAAACAAATATAACCAAGTGTGATAAGTGAACACACCGCCGGACTCTACTGAAGGTACAGAGGTGAGAGAGGAGAGCAATGCTGAACTCTTCCGTTGGTGCAGGTGAGAAAGGTGATCAGGAAGGCACCCTCAGAAAGACAACCTGAGTTGAATTTGAAAAGATTATGAGGTTTTGCCTTTTTTAAAATCAAAAGTGACAAATAGATGGTTAAGGTTTCCTGAAAACATTTAAGTTTTAATTTGAAAAAAACAAACAAACAAAAAAAACCCAACCACAAAACAAAATAACTGTAGTCAAATTTTGGAAACTCTCCTCTCTTGAAGAAGAGTAACTCTTGACCCCTCCCTGCTCTTTGCCTCACTACCCACGTTTATGTCTGGTGACTCACACTTTCTCTGCTGAGTTTGACAGCCCACTCTACTAATCACTACAGTCTGTCTATGTGTTTGCTATAGCACTGCACTAAACTGGAATCTTTTGTTATTGCCCCTTTCTCACTTTTTTTCCTTTCTTTCTTTACTGCTGCATCAGAATTAACAGATTTTATTCTTCCATGCCTCATCAACATTGCTTATTAAGCTTTTCATATGAAACTCTTTCACCTCACTGTTTCAATTTCCTCATCTCTACTATGACAGCAGCAGTACCTACTTGAAAGGGTCCTTGTGAGGATTAAATCAGTCACCGTGTGAAAAATGCTTAGAACAATGCAAAGCCCATTGTGCAAACTCAACAAATATTATCAGTATTGAGAGAGTCAAGAAGAGCACCCCACACCCAGGAACCTTTTCAGGTAAATTGCCTGTTTATCCCCCTTGGAATACTCCCAGTTTGAAACTGGCACTTTAAAAATTCAGTCAATATTTGAAAGAATGTAAAAAAGCTCCATGGGCCAGACACCTCTTTTCTAAATCCAACAGGACTTTCTCAAGTGTGGGTAAAAGGGACATGCAACTTTTACTTCTGTCTTTTTATCTAACATGCATCTTTTTTCATCTAAAGCAAGTATATTTTAGTTATAGATTATGTGACGGTAGCTCCCAGTGGGGGATCAGTAGGGGCCAGCTTAGAGGTTTCAAGCTTCCCTCATAGCTAAGTGTAGCCATATAACTGTGCTCTGGCCAATGGCACATGAAGAGCAGCACTGCTAGCTCTTGACCTTAAAACCATAGGATGTTGAATTCCCTGCTCCCTTTCTTCTTCCTACTGGCTGGGAGTTGGTGGAAATTGAACCACCTGCCATGTATGCACAGGTGAAAGTTAAAAATCAGAGATGGCATGCACAAGTAGCTTCAAAAAGCTTGCTCACCTTTGGATGGATACACAAGAAAAAGAAAACAAACTTCAATTTTGGCACGCTAATTAGAGTAGGTTAGTCTGTACCCAGAGAAATGAAAGAGAAGTAACTTAATGTAGAGAAGTGTAAATCTACATTGAATTGATATTTCCTTTCTATACTAATATTCTGAGTCTATTCACCACAAAGTATTTGAAGCACTTAATATAATATTTAACATCTATCCTCCTTCTAAATAAGAAATGTTTCTTTAAAAGTGGTAGAAGAGCCCTGGCCAGTTTGGCTTTGTAGACGCAAGGGTCTCAGGTTCGATTCCTGGTCAAGGGCACGAACCTGCTTTGCAGGTTCCATCCCCCACCCAGGTTGGGGTGGGAATGGGAGGCAACCGATTGACGTGTCTCTCTCACATCGATGTTTCTCTCTCTCTTGCCCTCCTTCTCCCTCCTCCCATTCTCTCTAAAAACCAATGGGAAAAAATATCCTTGAGTGAGAAAAAAAAAAGTGGGAGAAGAAAGTTTCAGTGGTTATAGTATCTATATTATCTACTTTTACCTTAACTACCATTTCAGTCTAGTTGTAGAGCAATATTGTAAATCTATCAGACTGATATATCTCTACACAATCATATATTGGCTCCAAGATTCATGAGACTGAAGTTTGAAAAACTAGAAGGAGTTCTATGTTCTATTCTACCTGGAAGCTAAGAGCCACTCTTACCTCTTCTATCAGTGAAAAAAAAATTAAATCATGTTTTCCCCAAAATGTATTAAATGATGTTTTCCCCTACTTATTATCAAAATCTAACTAAATGTGCTATATATAGCTATTCCTTAAGAGATAGAAGAAATAGAAGTATCACTTGGAATAAGTGAAATTAAGTGTGAACATTTATGCTCATCATAGGAATAATATCTTTCTAAACATAATCTCTGAGAAAATTCCCTCTTAAAGCATCAGAGATAAAGTGCAATTTATATTCATACTTTTTCATCTCATTAGAATCTTTTGTGAGCAATCTTTAGCCTGCAGCATCTGTTTCTGCTTGTAGAAATGCGGTTAGAAAGCAAAATTGAACTATTTGGGCTCTCAAAGTTCACATTAAAGCTGGTCTAGACAAAATTTACTTTGGCCTTTCAGTTAATTAACCAACTTAACTGTTAACCTCACCTCTTACAGTGTTAAAGAAGTGAGATATTCGTCTCTCACAATTATAACTTAAAGCTTGTATGGGACAAGATGATAGTTTTTCTCATCAACTTAATGTCCTTCCCCCAAAGAGAAATGTGCATTTAAATGGAAGATATGGAACGTATCAAATTTAACATAACAACTTCTATTGCACTTTTCAAAAATTTCTGTTTTTCACCCTAAGGGGAATTTATTCACTCCTCTTTTGTAAATCAGGTAATAAAACATTTCTTGTACAACTTTGTTTAAAGTCTCTGCCCCCTCACATCCTTCCAGCTGCATATTAAGTTATTGTTATCTAAACACTTTCTGCCCTATATAGTAATACAGGTTGCGTTTCAATTACTGACATGCATATTATATATATATACTAGAGGCCCGGTGCACAAAAATTTGTGCACTGGGGGGGGGAGGGGGGTCCCCCAGCCCGGCCTGTGCCCTCTCGCAGTCTGGGACCCCTCGGGAGATAACGACCTGCTGGCTTAGGTCTGCTCCCGGGTGGCAGAGGG